GATGCACACCTGTAATTCCAGCACTCGGGAGGCTGAGGCAGGAGGATTGTGATGAATTCAAGGCCAGCCTAAACTATATAGCAAGACCCTGTCTCAAAAAAAAAAAAAAAAAAAAAAAAATCAAGAAAATAATTCTAGTAAAAAGACTGGTATGACGTGAAGGCACCAGGTATGTTCAAGGTAAGAAATTTTGGAAAAACACGTCACCAGGACTGAAGGAACCAAAATTGCATCTGATGGGCTCGAAGGTCCTGTGTTTGAAGTGAACCTTGCTGATCTGCAGCATGACGAAGTTACCTTTATAAAATTCAGGCTAATTACTGAAGATGTTCAGGGCAAAAACTACCTAACTTCCATGGCATGTATCTCACCTATGACAAATGAGCTATGGTCAAAATATGGTAGGCCATGATCAAAGCTCATGTTGATGTCAAGACTACGGATGGTTATTTGCTTTATTTGTTCTATGTTGGTTTTACTAAAAAATGTAACAATCAGATACGGAAGACCTCTTATGCTCAGCACCAACAGGTCTGACACATCTGGAAGATGATGGAAATCATGACTCAAGAGGTGCGGACAAATGACCTGAAGTCAGTAAATTGATTCCAGACAGCATTGGGAAAGACACAGAAAAGGCTTCCGTCTCTATCTTCTTTATGATGTCGTCAGAAAGGTAAAAGTGCTGAAGAAGCCCAAGTTTGATTAGGAAAACTTACGGGGCTTCATGGTGAAGGTAACAGCTCTGGAAAAGCTCCTGGGGACAAGACTGCTGCTAAAGCTGAACAAGCTGATGGGCATGAACCACCCATCCAAGGATCTGTTTAAAGTCCAGATTTTTTTCTTTTTTGTCTTTTTGAGACAGGGTCTCACTATGCAGTTCAGGCTGGCCTTGAGCTCACTTTGTAGCCTAGGCTGGTCTCGAACTCGCAACAATCCTCCCGCCTCAGCCTCCTGAGTGCTTTGATTACGGGCATGCACCACCACACCCGGCTTCAGATTTTTAATAGTGATAAATCAAATCCTATTTGTGAAAAAATTTCTACAAAGAATGTTGTTTATTGTATCTGTTGGCAATTGATCTGGCTAGGTTCAGGCCCCGACTTCCAACATCCCCTCTCTTCCAACATCACCCATGTGGCTGAGTTTCTAGGCAATTTGCAGCCACCCAGACCCATCCCCTTCTCACCACCTGTGCTCAGTCTGACCTGGGCAGAGGTCACCTGTTAGCTCAGGCAGGCCCCAGTTAGTTTTGTGTGCTAATTAGGGTCAGCTCCACAAGGGAGCATTCCAAGTACAGTAGTGCTGGCAGTGCCAACCAGCCACGCAGGTGGGAGGGCCCAGGAGCTCACACCTAACTTTGTGGAATCCTTTCCCAGGCTCTTCCTGCTCCCTGTTCAGTGCTCTCTAGTGCCTGGAACTGTCACTGCTGCAACTGAGACATTCTCCCAGCAGGAAGCAAGGGCGTTAGCCCAGCCCTGCACTCCAGTGCAGCAGCTCTACTGAAGTGAATGGATTTCTCTCCATCAGATGCGTGGCTTCTACAGACCTCCACTGGCAATGCTGGGGTTTCCTAGGAGCTTGTGCATGAAAAACAGAGAAAAGGGGACCACCCCAACTCTCCAAGCTGTGGCTGTCCAGTCCCCCCACACACATACTCTGGGTCAGGCTTTTCTTTAACCTATGCACACACTGCTCACTTCTGTGTCTGGCCAGGGTGGAGCTCAAGCTGGGAAAGCAGAAGAGAAAGTGCTAATGTCGGGATCCCAGCAGTGCCAATCTGTACGCTGCTGCTTTTCAGTCCTGGGGCAGCTATGTGATGCTTTCTGTGTGATGCTTTTACAAATGTGTTTGGTGAGAACAAAATGGGAAAGGGAGCATGTGTTTACCTATCTCACTTAGAACCAGAATCTTCCCTAAAATGTTAAATGAAAAAAGTGACAGAATGCATACAGCATTATGTATTTGTGCAAAAAAATTTTAACTGAGGCCAGGTGCAGTGGTACATGCCTGTAATCCCAGGATTCTAAGTTCAAGGTTAGCCTGCACAATTTAGTAAGACCTTGTCTCAGCAAAACAAAACAAACAAAAGCTACATGTTCGGGGCCAGGGATATAGCTCAGTGGCACAGTACCGCCTGGAAAGTGCAAGGTCCTGAGTTCGATTCCTGGTACAAAAAAAAAAAAACTGCACATGTTCATCATAGATGAACAGCTTTGCTCTTTAGAGAAGTTGCATGTTCTCACAGACAGCCGCAGCCTCCCCCAAGGGGAGGAGAATCTAGACAAGGGGCAGTGAAGGGACTCCCACTTTTTAGTCTACACTTCTTTTGGAAGTATTTTAACAATGCACAATTACCTTGTAATTTTCTTACATGAGAAAAGATGGAAAATATCATAGTTTAACGAAGTATTTATATTCAGACAATATCTCTCCCAGGACATATCCAGTGTACTCTACTAAACATTTACCTAATGAGACCCATGTAGGATTTGGCATGACCACTTTCTTCAAGCCACTTACACACTGACAAGAATTATTCTTTACAAAATAAGAAGTCTTGAGCTGGGCATGGGGGTACATACCTATAATCCCAGCACTCAAGAGGCTGAGGTAGGCTGTCACAAATTCAAGGCCAGCTGGGGCTACATAGTAAGACTCTGTCTCAAAATAAAAAAATAAAAACAAGGTATCTAGGCCTGTAATGTTAATTAAGTTTATTCACATTTTTCCAAATATATACAATATTAAATATAAGCTAAAAACAGTACATAGTTCTTAGAAAATACAACCCAATGCCCCCTTTGTCTGAGTTTTGTGATTATAATGTGCTTAAGCCTTTGTTCTTCCATGATTCTAATGAATGTGTTGCTCAAAACAAGCTTAGGGTGACAGGGAACCTCCCCTAAATACAATTTTGTTATTATAAAACAAATCTAGAGAGAGGCCTCTAATGTCCTCATTCAGGTATCTGGAATTTCAAACTGGAAATAATTATTGAAAGAGCAGGCAATGTTTTCCCATCTCACACTAGCAAATTTGGGATGGAACAAGGGGCTTGTTATCAAGCACCCTTACACTAAGTAATTCTCATCTTGCTGTACAAAGGCTCATTCAAGGGCAAGTATTTTTAATGGCCAAATCATATTTTTAGGATCACCTTTTAATAGGAACTGATCATAGACCACACAGTAAGGACCCTTACGGGGCAGGTATTGGCAGAATCAGTCCCAGAGGCAGCAGCACTAGCTTTATCCAGTTAAATGTACAGCCCATGAACTATTCATTCCCAAAGCAGTGAACTCACCAAGACGCTTGGCTTCACTTTCAACGCGCGCTTTGCCTCTCGCCCTTTTTGCCAGTAATACTTTCAGATGTTGTAAGCACCAAGAACTCTAACATTCCATTTACAAAGTTTATGCCCACTACAGCAGTCAGTTTAAAGGGACAGGGGAAGACGCTATAGATTTTTTTTGTTGGGAAAATTATACAGGATTCTCTGACATTAAAACTACCACTATCCCAACAACCACTTTGCTTGCTCTCTTGTAACTTTAGTTCGGGTCCCACAGCCTAAATGCACCATCCTTTTGAGTTGCCAGCAACTGACCTCCAGTGAACAGATACTATATATGGAATGGTGTGAACATGTGCATACTGCACTGTGTGCAAGTCAGATTATCTACAACCAGTTATACCTTCAGCTAATTTTTTAAAATGAATAAAAGCTGGGCACAGTGGTCCAGGCCTGCAATCTCAGCTACAAGAGGGCCAGAGGCAGGAGGATCATGAGTTCTAGGCTAGTTCCAACAACTTAGCAAGACCCTATCTCAAATAAAAAATAAGTGCTGGGGATTAGTCAGTCGTAGAGTGCTTGACTAGCATATCTAAGGCCCTGAGTTCAATCCCAGGCACCACCAAAAAAAAAAAAAAAAAAGCATGGAAGTGCTCAGCAATTTTATGGGGTGCATGACCACACAGAACCAGAAGCAACATACTCAGACACCTCCTGAACAAGAATAATTAGAAGAACAGAGTCATATTTTCTTCTTAAGCACTCAGGTTCCACAGAGTGCTAGACATTATTACTTCAATATTCTATTACTAATTTTCTGGTAAAAGTGATGCCAAAAAAACCAAAAATATGTTGAGTGCAAATTGTTTTAATTAAAAACTTGAAAATTTAAAAAGATTTTATGTAGCTTTTTTAAATATCACTGGACTCTCAAACATTTTCCAACATGAAAGGTAATTCTGAACTACCTCACTGTCTTGAAATTTGTCCCAAGAATTGGGAACATGATTAAAACCACATTAGTTCTTAGAATAAGAAAAAGTTTGACCACAAAATTATTAGAACTTTAAAAATTTCATAGATAACTTTCATTATCAAAAGATAGTTGCTACTCTTTTTAAAAAAGGGAAGAAATTTTAACCATTAATGACTTAAATATAGGAGGGGGATTCGTAACTAATTCATATTGATTTATTTGTTGTTTGAGTGCATTAAAAATTCTTCAAAATTTGTGTTCATTTGTCCTCTACTTTAAAAAAGGGAAGGGGTGCACAATATTGTCTTCTAGGTTCACTCCTCCAGTTGGAGTTTTCAGGGGTAGGCGCAAATGCATGTCTATTTTCTAAACAAGCAAGAAACTCCAAATGTTCACAGTCTAGTACAGTTGAGAGGCGTGGATGCCCACCCACAAGGGCTTCGCCACTCCCAATCCATCGGACACTGTTAGAGGTGATTTGCCCAGGCTGGATGGTAAAACAACCTGCGAGACACGGATTCACAGAAAGTTTTCACAAAACAGCTTCACCGCCACAACTGCCACACTCACGTGATCTTCAGGTGCCTGCAGTGGATAAACTTCCAAGGGTTAGCACCACAATCCACCAGAGTTATGAGCAAGGTTGTGTTGGGCAACATGTAGAATTTCCTCATTAAATATACATCTCAATGACTGGAATTCTCTACATGAAGGGACTATGCAAAAATATACAAATATTTTAAAGGGTTTTTTTCTTAAACCCTCGTAATTGTTCAGTATGCATTTTTAAAGCTCAATATAGCTACAAGATGACAGTGCGACAATTTTATGTGGAATGAAACCAACTTGTGTTCTGAAAATAATCATACTTCAAGACCCAGAGTAAAATATCAAGAAAAAACTCAACCTGACCCCTAACACCAAACTTTTATCCACACATCTTCAGGTGCTAAGTGGGCACAGGCATGGTACTTTTCTGATCTCGTAAAGAACTTAGCACAAATCCTTCTAGGAGATTCCCTTGTACAGGACAGAGAACACTCCCATTTGATAAGCAATCAATGTTTTTTAAAACCATTTTTCTACCCTAAAAGCTGTACTAAAGGGAAGAAGCACTATTTACATACTGCACCACTCTCTCATCAAGGTGTAACTAAGCTCTACCAGCCAGGAATCGATAGTAATGTATTCAACCTAAAGTATGAGTATTGTACATCATTAGGACTTTGTTGAGTTCTGTAGAAGAAAAAGTAGAAACAGCAAGGGGGTCGGGTGGAGGTGAACAACATCCCTAACAGGTGTCCTACTATCTGCCCCCCATGGACCAAACAATCTCAGGGCATTATATGTAACTTCAGATTTTAAATTCCCAATGTCACGGCCAGCTACTACAGAAGAGGCAACAGTCCACAAGTGGGTGCATGCCAAAAGACCAGACTGTACCTTATGTGTTCTAAAAAGACATCTTGCAATTAAGAAAATGTGACACTCTTTGAATCAAAAGAAGCTTCATTACTACTCTATACACAGATTGCACTGCCACTCACTTACTGGAATGTATCTGAACTATTATACTATTAAGTGCCTAGATGATAATATAAAGAGAATAAGTGACCCTCACCCAGCCCAGACAATTTTTAAATATCACAACCTACATGAAAGTGATGTGAGTTAAAACACAAGTTGACTTCTCAGGATCTACCAAAGTTTCAGCTTCATTACAAATGCTTTGATACTTTTTTGCAAAGTATACTGAAGTAAGTAAAAATGAGTCTTACGTCGCAGGATGGAATGATCTTACTATCGTGGCATCTGAAGTAACTGGGAAGGGGACGATAACGGGCTCCCTCTTCCTTATGGAGATGTGGGATGGTAAGCATCTGTAGCCGGTTAAAGGCATTTGGTGTCAGTGTATTAAAAGATTAAGATGCTTTAAAACAAAACTCACAAGAATATCAGAGATTTAGGGACTCATCTTCATAAATAACCCAATGTCTATGGCTTCAACTGTCTGCCCTACTGCTGAGGTAGGTGACCAAAATTCATCAAAATAGAATACTCTTTTGTAAATTCCCTAAGCCAAGCCTTGCATAACACCAGTTGGTTTCTTCAACCTGTGTCCACCCTGGTTTAATAGTTCTTGTCTTCTTATCTATGCTCTGGCCGAGTAGCACCGCATGTACTCGGTCACCCAGGGGTTGTCTGCTGAGGACCCCGTGGAGGCCTTGATCTTCCTATTCTTCTCCACGTCCACTGAGTGGGCACGCTGCCGCTGCGCAGCCAGTCGCCGCTTCTCCACCTGTCTTCTGCTCTTGGCTCGTAACGCTGACTCATGAATCTGAGGAGAGTTCAAGAGTAAAGTATAATGACAAGGGGGGTTGGTACTAATTTTCAAGAACATCCACAGTGAAGCTACGCACCCCTCAAGGTTGCCTGAAACCGGGCATCAAGCCCTGCCTCTCTGTTTACAATTCTGTATAAAAGCTTCCCCAGAAAGCCTTTCCTACCTGCTACTATGGCTCACCCGTGAACAGTGACAGCAAAACTGAGCCACAGAACATTACATTTTAGATAGAATATTAAGCAGGTGATTTGTATATACTTCTAAAATTACCCTCAGGAAACTGCGGGAACTACTTTCCATAAAGTATGCATAAGTGTTTCATTAAGTGAACTTTTAGTGTTTTAAAGCAGTATACAAAGCAATGTCGAAGGATTTTACCATCCTTTACCCTTTGACAGGATAAATCCTATTAAATCAATCCCAGAAACTTGTCAGAGGTCCTTTGTTAGAGAACAGACTCTCGTCTCAAATTTCACTCCAAATAACACCATCTGCTGAGCCCAGAGTCGGTTCAGTGACACTGATTGTTTAATCACAATTCACAGCCCAGACTGTTCAGTGAAAGTCTGATTGTTTAATCATAATTCCCAGTCTGCACCTCCTCTTCCTACCTCCTTTAATGCATCCTTTGCTTTGTGCTGCAGTCACAGCAATAATGCTAATACACATAACTGTTCCACAACTGCATACATGAGGGTCCTCCCCTCTGAAATGCTTCAGGTTCTGACAGAGAAACAAACCAGGGCTGAGTCACAGGGCAAAATTTATCGAATAAGGACAAATGAGAAAATGGTGGAATTTGCTCAGAAGAGCAAAGAGAAGTCTCCAGCAGGTGTCAGGCAATCAGAAGCACCAATGATAAAAGAGTCAAGGATGCCAGCTCATCAAAGCTGAAAGGAAATGGAGATCTCTCAAGAGGCCAGAGGCAAATCCCAGCGGGCAGCTGCCAGCCCTGGCTGTGCTCCTCACCCGCACCCCTGGGCCCTGGGAAGTAGAGAACTATGATGTCACCTGCTTCTCCAGTGTGGGGTCAGTAAACCCTGCCAGCACCATCTGCCACCCAGCCCAAAATCCCTGTTCTCCAAGCAACCAATACCGAGAACCCTCCTGCTGATAAAGCAGAGGCCTAGTTCTGGGCTCCCTGGCCTCCATAGCACCTCCAAAGCAACCCAGTGGCCCAGGGTGACGCCCAGTGACGTTCCAAGGGGACAGTGAGATCGGGGCCAGGCTCACCTCGTGCACAGAGGCAGACGCACAGACATTGTGGGTCTTCTGGCTCCCAGTGTCTGTCTGTCTTTCTCCCCAGCCATAAAGAGCAAATGGGTGCTTGTTTTCTTTTATTTTACTCAATGACCTTTGGGGACTTCTGACTGCTTTCCTGTCTCCTCTGGCAAATAAGGCACTCGGCTGCTGTCGGGGTTTCACACCGGTGGGTAGCCTGTCCGGCTCTTCCTTTGCGGTGTGTGGTTTGGGTTTTTCTTCTGTATCTTCCACTGGGAGCGCTTCTGAAAAAAACAGAAAACAGGACGAAAATATCTTAAAATCTAATTTACATTTAATTACTTTGTTTGGGTTGAGAAATCATAATGTTTCATCAAGTCAGCAACACTGTTACCTAAGGTTCAACTCAAGAGTCTCACTTAAAGCAGAAATACAGAAACAAGTTTACTTAAGAACTTTTAAACTACTTCTCACATTTAAAATCAACAACAATTATACCAACAGTGAACCAAGCCAGGTCCAAGGCCTGCCTCAAGAGTCAGCATCTCAATGCCATGCCGAAAGCACCCAAGCCCCACGGCTCCCTGCGCGACCCCCAGAGTAAGCCCAGTCACCCCCATGCTTGGCTTCCGGGCAGAGTTGGGTTACAAAGTGAGTTTTTAAGTTACTCCACCTGAGTTCCTGGCTCTCATCTCTTTTTGACATTCCATGATTACAGAAACCACTTCTCTGCTTCTCCTAAGGGCTGACTGGCCACCCTAAATTGTCAGGCGCTTGTCACAATGGGGAGCAGTCACTACAGTTAACTCACCAGGGTGCCCAGCTCTGCATCCCCAGCATGAAAAGCTAAAGATGCAAAGGGAGCGTCCTCAACACTCCAAACAGACATGACGGACTCTAGGAGTCACGACTTAAACCCCACAGCACTATCCCGTGCAATCAGAGCTGGGGAAGTGGTGGAGACGGCAGGGAACCTGTCTGCCCAGCCTGAGGTAGACACCAGATATTAAGAACTCTCTCTAAGATAGCTCTAATTTCCCCTGGCCGCCTTTTAGGATTTTGGCATTGTTTTTTATAACCCCTCTTTTTTAAAATAAAATACATTATCATGTATAAACCTGTTGTAAGTCTATTTCCTTTCCACCTAAATACGCATTTGAATTAGAGCTCTGTCTCCATCACCCCTGCTGCTACAGCCTTCCCCACTCCCTAAGGGTCCATCCCCAGTGCTCCTAGCTGTGGCTCTGCTTGCGCCTGTTTCCCATTCTCAAAGGCAGAGTGGACCCTACGTGGGCAGTTCAGGCAGAGCAGCCACTGACTGTCAGGCAAGTTTCTGCCCCCAGCACTGACCTTGACTCTACCAAACTGTTTCACTCATTACTAAACACTGAAGGCATAAGTGACCCACTTCCAAGCCTGCTCTAGTGCTGCTGCCAGTGTGTCCGTCTCTTCACTCCAGCCATGAGGGATGGCATGCAGCAGGCACATGCTAGACGCCATGTGATCACAAGAGCCAGGTCTACTTGCTGCCCAAACACTTCTGAGGGCCGTGTCCACACCCTCACCGCTCCTCACCTGGGCCTGATGCAGGAGGAGGGAAAGAGGGACCGGGGGGATCAGGAGAAAGGGAAGGAGAAGGGCAGGGCAGGGCCTGCGTAGTGAAATGATGCTGAAAGGATCTCAAGTGGCTCTCAGGACCACTTTTTTCTCCCTCTCCCGTCCAGTTCCCAGGGAAGCAATGCTGACCTAGTTTGAAGGACAAGCCAGGGCTGGCCCAGAAGAGAGCAGAGGAGACGTGCCAGGATGTAAGAATGGGCAGACTTTAAAGCACAGCTTGGGGAGGGGACTACAAATAGTTTCAAATGACTAGCACAAAGAGAAGCTAAGGATAAGGCCCAGAATGAATGACAAGGAAGAAACAGAGACTTTCTCCAAAAACTCAGGTTGTTTTTCATGTTTGTTTTTTGTGGTACTTTGAATTGACCCCAGGGAGTGTGGGACTATATTCCCAGCCCTGCTCCCCAAAATAGGACTCAATTCCCTAGTTGGGCCTCACACTTGCAATCTTCCTGTCTCAGCCTCCAAGAGTGCTGAGATTACAGAGATACACCAGCACGGCCAGCTCAAACTCCGAAGTTTTCATTTCATCTGAATAACAGAGAATCACTGAAGAATTTTAGGTTGCGAAATGTGGTCCTGTTTTACCGCAGGAAGGAGGCCTCAGGCCTCTAGCTGCAAACACAAAGGATGGGTTTGATCAGCTAGTGAAGCAGACAAGTGAGCTAGGCAAAAATGACAAATAGCCTGGGGGTAAGCAACAGTGACAGCAGGTGGTCAGGAGCACAGGGATCAGAACAGTGCTCAGACTCATCTGGGCCCCTGTGACCAACACCTGCCCAGCACAGGGGCAGGAGGCACGGACACATTTAATGAGGTTCCTTCAGAGCAGACAGCCTGGCAGCACTGAGCCTGACTGACAGCCAAACTGATGAGACACCACGTGAACCAGGGACAGAGAGGCCTGAAGGACCCTAGGTGTCTTGAGTAACCATCGTAAGGCCCTTCCAGGGGTGAAGACAAGGTACCCAGAAGGTGAAGCCACCGAGCAGGCTAAAGTGGGCCCTGGAGACAGAATCCTGGGCAGAAGCAGAGCTCCTCGTCCAGGTAGCTCACATGGAAGAAACGCGGAACCAGAAGTGAGAGGGCACCATCAGGCCCCTGGGAACATCTTATTTCATAAAGGGTCAGAGAAAGGACCCAGGGGGCACAATAATCAGAAGAGACCTGAGGAAAAAATTTCAGAAAAGGGAGGCGCAATCCCAAACATCAGAGGAACCAAAGTGATAAGGATGAGCAGTCTTTGTACCAGGCAGCAAGGGTGCGAGGTGCAGAAGGGAACGGGAGAGCAGGGACCGCAGGGCTGCACAGGGAACAGTGGAGATGGCAAGTCTGCTAACAATGCGCTCCTGCACCAACCTCCCTGTGAGATCACAAAAAGCCTGAATGAAGTACAGAAAGCTATTCCGGAGTAACACCCTCCATGGTCCCAGCACAGGACTTAAAAGTCTCCTCCGGCAGTCCCTCGGCCCCATGTGACTCCACAAAGGTTTTCCAAACACAACTGCCAGAACACATAAAAGACAACCAGGCACACCAGGGAGGAAGGCAGTAAGGGGGCAGCAGCTGCAACAATAGGCTTGACATCCTGAAATTATCCTCTACAGACTATGAAATAAGCATGCTAGTCCTCTGTACTTAAAGAAGAAGACACACTTGAAAATTAACTGCAGCAAGAGACAAAGATGGAAAACACAGGAGAAAAAAGGTAGAGTGTATCACTGTAATTTTAATATTTATAAAACTCTTAAAATAGTGCCTGGTACACAATAATTACATATAAATATATGTTTTCAAAATCCTATTTGAAAGAATGAAGTTTAAAGTAAAGATTTTTTTTTCAAACAAACAAAGCCAGTATTTCCCACTAGTTATGGCAGCTTCTTGCTCAGTAATTGAAGGAACACACAAATAAAAATAGATTCAGTTTAAAAATTAATTCAGTCTTGACTTAGAGTAGTATTGCCCAATACAATGCCCACTAACCACATGAAATTGTTAAATTTACATTTAAATTCCTTAAAAGTACATAAAAGGAAAGATCCAGTTCCCTGGCCACACTAGTCCTAGTCAAGAGCTCAATGACCACCCACTGGGTGGAACAAACAGACGTGGCCCTCATCACAGGAGTTCTACTGAACATTATGAGTTTTTAAAAACATACCAATGGTAACATCCATCTCAGAAAGTATTAATAAGCAAAATAAGCCCAAAGGAAGGAAATATCAAAAATTAAAAAGAGTATAGTAAAAAGAATCTACATATCCAAGAGTTAGTTTGGGGAAAACAAACCTAAATGAATCCTCAAACCTCTGGCAAAGCTGATCAAGAAAGAACAGAATAAATGAAGCATATAGCCAGGTGTGGTAGAGCAGACTGTAATCCCAGCCCTCAAGAGGCTGAGGCAGGAGGTTCACTGCGAGTTCAAGGCCAGCCTGAGCTACATGGTGGGTTCAGGGTCAGCCTGAACTGCATAGCAAAACCCTGCCTCAAAAAGACAAAAACAGAACAACAACATGTGCTTATAGTCTCTTCCTCCCCAAACCCTACTAAAGGACAAAGGAAAAGGAGATGACATCATGTAAAGGGTGGCAATAACATTTTAGGAGCAGTGGATAAAGATGAGTACATTACTGACTGAGATGCGTCTTGATGGCCAGCGAGCAGGGAGGGCAGGACAGAAGCCGAACCCAGAAGCAGCCAAGGTTGGGGCCGCAGGTTGTCTTTCCCAAAGTCCAGGTCCGTCCATACCCCAACCCCAGGCCTTTAGCGTTGTAACAGGCTGTGTCTCTGTTGAGGACTGGGTCAGCGCATGTGCTCCTTGAACCTGGGGAGACTTGTGAGACTGCCAGGGCAAACACAGAATGGGATGAGAGAGGAGCTGTCTGACTCCAGCAGATGAGAAGGGATAGTAAGGTCTCTGCCTTACTCCTTAGCTCCATTATCAGCTCACTGTCCTGGAAGCCAGCTACATGTTACAAGGAGGGCCAGCTCTGGGGAACATGTGTGAGTTCAGGGACAGCCCAGACAGGCCTGGCCTGAGGCCTCCTCGAAGAAAGCAAAGGCAGCACCCATCAGACAGTGCCGCCAGGGCTCAGAGGAGTGCTGTTATACAGCAACTGGTGCTTCTTCCACCTTCTCCTCTCCCTCCCTGAAGGGACACAGGCTGCTGTCTGGAGAAGGAGCAGCAGAGGGGCCTGAACTTGAGGCCGTAGACACAGCGGAAGTCAGGGTGATACCTTTTTGAAAGCAGGGTCAGGAGAAGGCCTCATAGTGCAGGAACTCGGCTCAGAGCCTGTCCCCCCATGTTCCCAGTGTGCAGCAGCCAGGCCTCTCCTGAGGCAAGAGATCGGGGCACCATCTGAGGAAGGTCACACAAGACACCAGCAGGGATGAAGCGCTGGGGTCTACCAGGGAAACAGATGGGTCAGCATCTGATTACAGCTGACAGGCATCCACACACACTACGCTCCAGAGAGCGCTTTGGGACTCATTCCTAACATGAGCAGGGCCTGAGTACAGTGGCGCACGCACACCTGTAACACCAGTGCTGAGGCGGAAGCAGGAAGATCTCAAGTTGGAGTCCCGCCTGGGCAACTTTGTGAGCTCCTGTCTCAAAATAAAAACTAAAGAGGGCTAGGGATATAAGTCAGTGCTAGGTTGTCGC